CGACGCCCCCAAGGTACACTCGAGGTACTGGACTCCGCCCGAGCACAAGCGCTTCCTAGAGGCCCTCAACAAGTTCGGACCGAAGGACGTCCGCGCCATTGCTGCCTATGTCGGCACGCGCAACGCCACCCAGGTCCGCACCCACGCCCAAAAGTACTTTCTGCGTATGGCCCGGGAGGCGAAGCACGAGCACGCCCTGCAGAGCGCGCGTAAGAGGTCTATGAGCGAGAGCGATCTCGCGAGGGTCGGCCGCACCGTCCGTACCCCGCCCGGGAGCCCCACCATGAAGGACGCCCAGCGCAATGCCCCGTTCTTCTCCGCCACCAACTGGACACCGGACACAAACATGACCTCCGTCGAGCCTCACCATCAGAAGCCTCCGTCCCAGCCGCATGCGGCCCCGCTCCCGCCCGCAGGCTCATTTGCCCCGTTGAAGCAGCAACAGCACCAGAACCCTGCCGCTACCAGACAACCGGCCCAGCCGCCGCCCGCGTGCGCCCAGCCCAAGCAGGAGCCCACCGCCGCGTTTGCCGCCGCCCCGCCTGCGTCTAACGCCGCCGTGCCCGAGTCTGTCCCCAGCGCCAATAAGCCCCCCGTCGCTAACGCAAAAATGACCGATAATACCGGCATCAACTTGCTCAGTATGGTCGCCACGGAGAGGAAGATGGAGGCGGAAAAGGACGTTTCGCGATAATACGTGGTGCATGCCTTCTGGGGGGAGGGAGGAGGGGGTGCAGAGCCAAGTTCGGAGGTTAGGGGGAAAGGGGAGGAGACCTGGTTTGCCCGCAGCATGCGTTTAATGGAAGACGCTAGCCCAGCTTGTTTTTATTTGTACGTCAGCGCGTATGCATGGCGCGTCGCGCATCTTTCTTGGCGACGCTTTCGATCGATGGGGGTTGAGCCCCCGTGGGGTTGTCGCCTGAGAGAAGAGAAAGAAGGACGCCGTCGGTGTATTTTATTCTGTTTTGACTAGATTCCTGTCCTGCTAAAGCTGCGGTCAAATGCATCGGTTGTCCGACTCTTTTCTTCTCGTCCGCTCGACATTTTTTGCCTTGCCATTTAACTCAGGGTAGTTGCCGTGTCACGCTAAGCCGCGCCGTACGTAGCTAGCACGTGATAGGAACAAAAACAGCCTTCGAAACGACGAAACCAGGACGACGAAACCAGCAACTTCATCATGCAAACAACATTAAGCTTTGTCTAACAGGCTTACAGTTGACGACTGCTCTGCGTACGCATCAACGGATACCGCCTTATTGACTGCACCTCAAATCATCTCTCTGACATGTCCACCTTCCCTTTCATCACACTAAAAGCTTCTTAAACTCCTTTGCATCTACATCCCATTAGCGATGGCTTTTCCAACCACTCCGCCCTCACCCGCCTCCTCGCCACAGCTTCCACCGCGATCGGCACTCCACCCTACCCGAAAGGTACGTCACCCGCCAGTCAATCCACCCGCAATCCCAACAACCTCTAACCCCCACCGCAGTTATTCCACTGCCTCACGGGTCTCTTCTTCGCCCTCTGCTGCGTCAACCTCACGCGCCGGACGTGGACCACGACCTGCCTCGTCCTCACGGTCCTGTCCTTCTCGGTGGAGCTGCTGCGCGTCTCCTCGCCTACTTCGCAGCTGAACAAGGTCTTCATGAAGGCGTTCCGCGCCTTTGCGCGCGCCAGCGAGCACAGCGAGATCTCCGGCACGCCCTACTACATGCTCGGCATGCTCCTCGCCTCCTCCCTCTTCTCCACCGCCGCCGCCACTGTCGGCATCCTCTGCCTTGCCTGTCTCGACCCCGTCGCCGCCATGGCGGGCACCCTCGCCGACGCTGACATGCCCGCCGCCCGGCTCCGGAACGGAAAGTCCCTCGCGGGCTTCGTATGCGCCGCGGGCGCGGGTGCCGCCGTGGCCGCCGTCACCTTGGCTCAGGCAGCGGCTACCTCTATGTCGCAGCGTTATGCCGTCGCAGTGGGCATCCTTGTAGGGTGGGCGGGCGCCACGGCAGAGGTTATGGTACCGACGCCGAGGGTCCTCATCGGCCCAAAAAGAGTACCCTTTACTATTGATGATAATGCGATTATTCCAGTCGTCGCTGCCGGGGTGTGTGACGCGTTGCTGAGGATCGACTATCACCACGTCCAGTTGTCCCCGATTTTGTTTTGGAAGGCTTCGGGCTGAGTCGCCCACGCGCACGTAGCAGCAGACAAGCTTTGATGCTAGAGGGTTGGTACAGCAACTGCACTTGGTACTGTACTGCGGGTAAAGTTGTGCTCAGATCCAAGTATAGGGCACGGCAGGAATGCAGATGGGGGATGTGCACACCATTAAAGAGCGCCTTTCGGGCGCGAGATAAGGGATCAACTGGGAACGAAATCGACGCTTTTCTGCGAGGAGAGCATTGTAATTGTGTCTATGCATATATCTACAGATCGCTCTTAAGACGTTGTCACATCAATGAATAAGGATCGCGCATGTGCAAGGACAGAGCTTCTCGAGTCATTTCTGGAGGGAAAGGGAACGACGACTCTGCCATCAGCTTTGAAAATAGCGCTACGTCAACGAAGAGATAGGCAGTTGCATCGAAGGACTACAAGGCTCAAGTCTTGCAGCCAATGCATGCATGTGCCGCTCATTTGTTTCCTCGTAAAAAGACCCTGTGGCGTTGCGCTTTGTTGCTTTACGCCGTATGAACAGATGTTAATGGAACTCTCGTAGGCAGGATCCATAGGGGAACATCCAGTTGCTTTGTGTCAAACGCGCTCGAGCAACTGTAAGGAATTGATACCCCCCCTTCCCTCCCCCTCCCCCCCCCCCTCCTTCAACCCGTCCTTCTGCCCCTCCTCCTTCCCCTTTCTCTCTC